AAAAAATTTAAATATGAAAAAAATATATTATACCTCAATTTTTTGCAGATCTTCCTTATAATAATAATATAATATTAATAACCATAGTTACAGGCTTACAACTGAATTTAAACTTAGTGAGGAGGCTGTCAGTAAGATCCTGTGATTTTTTTCTTTATTTGTACAAACAATAATTTGTGCAGTAATAATGATCAGTTTGGGCAGTAAGATGTTGCAGTTCAGACAAAAACACTTACAAAGTGAAACTCTTATACCGTTTGCCTTAGAATTTGATTTATTTTAATGGTTGGAGTTATTGAAAGGATAGTTTTCTTTAGCTTTAGTTGATCAAAGGATCATAGTTGATAAAGTGAAAATGATGAGTGCTTTTGGAAATACTTTAAGTTTATGGAATAGTTTTTTTGGTAAATTTTCTGGGTGAAAGGTAAATTTTATAAATATAGTTAGGAAAAAATTATAATAACCACGACATGCTTTTAGTTAGAAATGATTTTAATGAGAAGTCTGGCTAATATAATCATTTTACTTAATTTGAGAAAAAAGAAAAGAAAAGAAATGATCTCAGTCTAGCTATATTTTAATATTACAACTATTCCCTGAGGTTAGTATATATCTTATGAATTGTCTCCGGAAGGGGTTCAGATTCTAAAATCAGACAAATGTCGATGGGACTTGTAATTTAAAAAATTTGTCACCTTTTTTTTTTTTTTTTNAGAAAGTAACAGATATATAGTTAAACCTTGAGGAAAGTATTTAAAAGTGACCCCTAAACTTGTTATCACCATTATAATTGTCTACAGACTACATATAATATAGATGATATGGTTCTTCAAAAACCACACACTATTTGGTTTAGGATACCTATCTGTCCATCGCCACTTTCCTCTGCAAGCAAAGACTGAACTAGACATTTGTTCTTTGTGTACCAGAGTTGGTCCGAAAGGGATGGAATTTTTGAATTCCTGCAGTCCTGATTATCAGCCTCCTTTATATCTGATCCTGACTCCAGAACTGGAGATTGACAATAAAAGCAAAGTTGCAGTTGGTTATGGAGTTGTCAATGGTTTATCTCAGGTGTGAGTGCTTTTATAAAGCCTAAGCACTATGTCAGACGTAATTTATGGTTAAATTGCAAAATTGTCCTCCTTTTATCTCGATAATTTTATCGCAATGTAGTTTATGTTCGATATCTATGAGTTTAGGTTGAGGATCAGCTTTACAAATTGCTTGTTGAAGAGAGAAGGAAGCTTGCAAGGAACCATGGAATTGCTCCGTGAGGCCCATTTTTTTTTTTAGCATTTGTTTTGTCCATCATGGTTGAAATACATTAATCTGGTGATCAGAAATTATTTTTCTTACTGTGTGTGTGTGTTTATTAATTATTATTATATTTTTTTCTTCAGGTATGCATTATGTGGTGATCAAACCCTGAGAGGAATAACATCACTGAGACCCTCTACACTGGCAAAGCTGGCTAATGTTGATGGTGTAAATCAGGTATTTCGTGTGATGGACACCTATGTTAAAAAAAAAATTCACTTCGCTTGACAGGACTTCATTTTTGGGCATCTATGCTTGTCCAAGAACGGTCGATGTGATGTTAATGTATATATTGTTATTGGTTAACAAAATATTTGTGGAAGTAGCTTTCATGTTTTATCGTAGATTTTTGCTTGTGACAACCAACCAAAAAATAATGGAATATGGTTTGGTAGGAAATGTTTCTTAATCATTTTTAATCATTTATATGCATGATTGCAGTAGAAAATGATGTATGATACCGGGTTTATCCAACGCACCTATCCAGTTGGTGGTTCTAATTTGGAAATTTCTGCTGCAGTACTTTCTGACAAAATACGGAGATTTTTTTGTACAAGTCATTCGGAAACTGTCGAAAGAACTTGGCCTCTCTCTTGATGGGGAGCAAATTCGCTACATACGGTGAATGAGGATTCTGTGCTCGACTGGCTCAAGAATTTGGAGAATGGGGTGAGTTTTTGCCGTGTTGTATGTTTTGTGATGGATAAGTTGGATACATTTTAATTGATTTTGTTTACACAGGTTTTGCTGTCTGATATCGTGAAACATTTCACTGGGTCGAAAGAATAGTCAGTAGTTGGAGGCCGAGTTTTTGATATTCAAGAACAAAGTCAATTATGAAAATTTTGTGCTCATTAGTGCCTTAATTATTTCGTGTAATTAGCCACTCACTTTTGTCTTGGCAAACATAAGAAGTGCTTCTCCAGGCTACTTTCCTGACATGTCTTCAGATTATTATTAGTAGATTTTGTGCTATTTTTCCCTTGCTTTTTGTACAATGACCCGCCAAGCCAAATTTGAAGTAAAAAACACTTGTAAAACTTTAACATTAACATGAAAGCCAAAATCCAGTATCCCTTACAAAATTGTATGTGCCGCATTAAGCAAACCCTTTTAATCCTATGTGCCAACAAAAAACCTATTCCATACTTCGGCCTACAAAATAAAACAAGAAAGAAAATACAAAACAAACATCAAAGTAAGTATATTGAAGGTCGAGCAATAAGCCGATACTAGTAGTGATCGTGCAACAGATCATCCGGTTCGACTTCGACCCCTATCCGCCTCTTGATGGATGCACATGACTTGGAAGGCAACTTGCACTTTCTCTGCAGCTCCACAAACCTCCGAACGTCAAAATCGTGCCTCTTGACGAGTTTCCTCTGCCTCGAGAGAAATAGCCTCTTGAGAAAATCTTGGTAGCTCGGGTCCCTCGAGGTGAACATGAAGTAGGCGTACCCTACGACTATACTGGCCGTGGTCGTGAAAAATGCAATGGGCTCCATCACGTCCCACGAGAACTCCCAGAATGTGAGACGAAAGAAGAGCCCGGCCTGCACCACGGCCAACCCAAGCCCAGCCCACAGTATCCGTCGAACCTGTTTGTGCGCCAGCGAGTCAATTTTCTCCTTCTTCTCCTGCAGCTTCCTGAGCTCGTCATTTCCCGGGTCGTCCTCAGGTAGGAGGGCGAGTGGGACCGCCCTTCGGACGAGGTCAACCACCTAAAAGTTAGAATTTTGTGAAAATCAACGTTGATCAGGCAAAATTTAAAAAAGAAAAAAAAAGACACACCAAGTTGGATGTTGTCTAACAAACATTCACGAATTTAGGTCATGCAAAAATTCTATGGAGCCATCAGATGGTTTTTTTATGGAGCAATCCACCACTTAATGTATTGACACTTGTTCAAAGTGTATTTATTTAGGACACGTGTCAATACACTGTTGGTCAATAAGTGTGGATGACTCCATAAGTCGAGTCATCCGATGGTTCTATAGCAAAATTATTGGGTCATGTCAAAAGACATATATTAGGTTGACAATTTGATCGAATATGACGCATTAGTCACCCAACCAGGATAGAATGTTGACGTGGACAAATTATATTAATATAACAAAATAGACAATAATTAAATAAACATGAAAAATGATACTACCTCATATTTTTAATATATGTCGTTTTGAGGAGTTGTACATTAATTAAGAATATTTTTTTTGTCAATAATAACCTTATTTTCTGAAGATAGAGATGAATGTTTTGAAAAAAGATGAAGAGTGAATATGAAAAGTCGTAATGTATTTATTAGCTAAATGAGGATAATAGTGGAAAAATATATACAAAAGATCCAAAACGTCATTTATTTGGTTAATAGTTGATAAAGCCAAAATGACATTTAAAAAAATAGGAGAGAGTATGTAAAATGAATATGAAAGACCTTATCTGGGTGGAGGTAAACGTCATTTATTTGGTTAATAATTGATAAAGCCAAAATGACATTTAAAAAAAATAAGAGAGAGTATGTAAAATGAATATGAAAGACCTTATCTGGGTGGAGGTAGACTTTGTCCCGAAATAGCAAAACGACACCTGCATTGTCGAGAACTCTGGCAAAGGCGGCGGCCTCATCGTCGGACTTGGCAACGCCGGCGGCCATGCAGGTGGAGATGAGCTCGTCGTAGGGTATAACTTCTCTGTCCTCAACATTCGATAGCTTCTCCTTTAGAGCCTCAACATTCGATAGCCTCATCAGCTTCTTTGCCTCCTTGTAACTCATCGAATCAATTCCATCATCAGTACTATTGTTATTGTTAACATTATTTATATTATTACCATTGTTATTATTATTGTTCTCAACAATGGAGCTGGTGCTGTAACAATGGCGATGATACCACGATTGGCCCGTAACTTCGAAGCCGCAAAACCGGTTTAATACGGGCCTCGAATTCACGGCCCGTTTGAGCAGGTTAATTCCAGGGCTTCTCCACATTTTTATTTTTATTTTTTTATTTTTAAATATCACTTGTCATTATGGGTGAGATTCAGATGAGGTAAACAAGGGAGACATATTAATGGAACGAAGAAAAAGGGGGTCATAATGCAATGGAGACGAGAGATGCAAAAGTACGACATTAACGCTTTGGTCGAGACCATTTCCACGCTTCTCGTATCAGTTATTTTTTAATATATTGAAAAACATTTTATTTCGGTTATTTGCATATTTAAATCTTGGGAGATAATTCAAAAATAGTCCTAGAACTAGGGTGTTTCAATTGCAATCATATTGAAACTAATAAATATTGAAGTTTTTAAAATTGATTGATCAAAAGGACAATTTTTGCCGGAATTCCACCGTCACCAGAAATGGCTAATCATGTCCAACATATCACTATAACTAATACTTCACATTCATGTGACTTTTATGAAATTTTTAAGATAGTCCAGAAACTATGTTGATGTTTCAAAAGCAGTTCCATTAGAGCATATTCAATGCATAAATATTGTTGTCATATAAATTTTGACAAATGTCAATTATTTAGATGCATTATGAACCACAAAAGATATTTGTTAAATTCACAACTTTAAATTTAAAAAAGTATCTGCAATGCACAATGTGATCAAACATAATATTGTTCACTTGGCAAAAAAAAAAAATATGAATAAGAAACAAAAAAAAAAAATTAGATATTTTGAAAATGGTAATAATATTTCTCTCTCATTTCTCAATTGGTTGATTAGAATGTGAAAGAAAATGTGGATGTAACACATTCTTCTCTACATTGTGTATATTAATTATGTCCACCTCATCACTACATTTATGATTACATTGTGCATTATAGAATTAAAAGTGGAGACATTACTAAATTTGTTAATAAAAAGTGTAATTTACTACAATCTATATTTTACCATTGGAAATGCTCTTCGAATTCAACTACTTAAATAATGGTCTCCTAAATTTCAATATTTACCAATTTAAGGACTGTTTTGGGTGGAAATATAATTTTCCATTAAAATGGCACGTGATACTATAAATTGAAGAGAATTGAAGAAGAATCTGTGTGAACATGTTCTAAAAAACGTTATAACCACTACCAGAGGTCAATAAAGCCCTAACTATAGTGAATATTATTAGAGTTTTCCAATTTGTGTCCTCCAAAGATGAAAGCATATCCNAAAATATTGTGTCCTCGAAAGATGGATCACCTATTAGTTTGGGTCTGAAAATGGATGCTAATGATTCATGACATGAAGATATAAATTTATCAATTTAAAACTTTAATTCCTATCAACATAAAGCTCAGAAGATTTAACTATTAATTTGAAACTTTAAAAAGATAAAATAAGTCAATTTGTGATGTGAAAAATTTGAAGTTATCAATTTACTACTGTAAAGATGAACACTGTCAAACACGTTAAAACAATTCATTCACCCAAAAGACTTCCTCCCATAGATTTACCAGAGCCCCCAATGTATAGATACAAATGAAGTCCTAAAATAATCTACACCAAATCTTTAAGATACTAAAATCTATCTATACCAAAAATACAATATTCACAAAATCATTCTAACATCCCCCCTCCCCTTCAAGTTGGAGCATGCGGATTTCGGATGCCCAACTTGCCAAGAAAAAAATCAAACTCGCGTTTTCCCAAGGCCTTGGTAAGATGTCCGCCAATTGAGAATGAGTGGAAACATGAGCGGTAGAAATGAGACCTTGAACAAGAGCATCACGAAGAAAATGGCAGTAAACTTCAATGTGTTTGGTGCGCTCATGAAAGACAGGATTAACGGCAATGTGTAGCGCCGCTTGACTATCACAATGAATCCGCATCGGCTGTGAATGAGAGACACCAATACTGCGAAGTAAACCCCGTAACCATTTCAACTCGCAAGTAAGCATCGCCATAGTACGACACTCAGTCTCGGCAGAAGAGCGAGCAACTGTGTGTTGCTTTTTAGTATGCCATGATATTGGAGAATGGCCAAGTTGGACGAACCAACCAGTGAGAGACCGTCGAGTAGTAGGGCATGTTCGGAGTCACTCCAACCGTAGACCTGTAAGTCACAATCAGACCGAAGAAAAATACCCTGGCCCGGAGTACCCTTCAAATAACGTACCACACGAGTGGTGGCATCCCAATGTGCCTGACGAGGCTGATGCATAAACTGAGAGAGCATGTGCACAACATAAGACAAGTCAGGACGAGTGACAGCTAAATAAATCAAACAGCCCACTAGCCGCCAATATCGCTCAGGATCAAAGAACAATGGACTATCGGCTAATAGAAGATGGTGATTCTGCTCCATAGGAAAATCAGCAGGCTTGCCACCAAGTAAGCCAGCTTCGACAACTATGTCAAGAGTGTGTTTTCGCTGACATAAAAATATGCCCGAGGAATTCCGAGCAACCTCAATGCCCAAAAAATATTTCAAGATTCCAAAATCCTTAATATGAAAACAACGACCCAAGTACTCCTTAAAGGCCGTAATAGCAGTCAGATCGCTTCCAGAAATGATGAGATCATCGACATAAACCAGGACATGCAAGTACATAGAGTCTCGATGTAGAGTGAAAAGTGAGTAATCAGAATAAGTCTGCTCAAAACCATAATGTTTAAGAGCAGTAGCAAGCTTTGCAAACCAACAACGAGGAGCTTGCTTTAAACCATATAGAGATCGGCATAACCGACACACCTTACCAGGATCAGGTGAATGAAAACCAGGAGGAAGTTTCATGTAGACCTCCTCAGGCAGATCCTCATGCAAGAACGCATTGTGCACGTCCATCTGATGAACCTCCCAATGTCGAGAAGCTGCAACAGCAAGAAAAGTCCATACAGTAACCATCTTGGCGACAGGTGCAAATGTCTCCTGATAGTCAATGCCCTCCACCTGCCGGTTACCCAAGGCAACCAAACGCGCCTTGTAGCGCTCAACAGAACCATCAGAGTTATGTTTAATCTTATAAATCCACTTGCAACCAATCGCGTGGTTCCCAGTAGGAAGAGAAACAATATCCCACGTACGGTTTGATTCCAATGCTCGAATATCCAGTTGCATAGCTGAACGTCAGCG